CTGTTCCATCTTCAAGCGAATTTTTTTTTATTTCGCTTTTACAAAATCTTGGTAATCCGTATGGATAATCCCAAGGAGGGTGAAATCCTGAGAGCTCAATGTTATTTCAGAGCGAATAATTTAATTTAAATAAAAACAGACCACTTTAAGGGTCCAGTGTAATAATTTATTTCATCAGAGATTTTATTTTTTCCTTGGATCTTCAGACATCACTTTCAAAAGGTGAAAGGAAAAAAAGTGATACCTGAAGATCCAGGGAAAATAAAAATCTCGGGTGAAATAAATTATTACAATGGAGCCTTAAAATGGTCTATTTTCTTTAAATTATATATATATATATATATATATATATATATATATATATATATTGTTTGATTGTTCTCTCTCCTTAATGATGTTTTTTTTTTCTCTTATTCTTTCTTATATAATATAATAGTATACACGCATCTAGAAATGTCGTCCTGCGTCCCCACTTGCATACACCATCCGTTGGTATACTAAGCTCTCCCCACAACCTCATATTTTTTACGGTATGTTCTTCGCAGATGTTTGATTGTTCTTAATAAAGGATTTCTATCGATAAAAGCTTCTTGTGTGGTCGTTACTCAAGTTTAAATTGTTTCAATGTTTTAGATATTCAGTAAATTTCCTATGGCCGTAATAACATTCAAATAGTATGGCATTGTTTAAAAATGATATAGTCAAACAAAAACTGGGATGAAGCGTCAGAGCTTGATTCAACTGCAAGGGAAAACACAAGAACTTCCCCTACTTTTTGGCACGTTTAATCTAAAGCTTAAGTTAATAAGAGGTTATTTGGGAAGCTCTTCAACTTTTTATTTTAAGTAGTCTGAAAAACCCGATTTTTGGTGTGAAACCGATGTATCAGGAAAACTAACAAGCACTCTACATAACTACATAACAAGAGCTATGATTTGCTTTAAGTGCAAAAAACATCAGTTCATCCAGTAAAAAATTTTGATCGCGTGTAACTTTGAAATCCATCAAAAATGTGGACGTGCATAAATAGCATACACACACAGACATCTTCTGTTTATATATATATATATATATATATATATATATATATATATATATATATATATATATTACAAGTAATAGATCTAATAATATCAAATATTAAAAGTGATCCACAGAGAGAGCTCAATGTATTTATTATAACAGAGCATATATATTATGCAGCAAAAAATCGAAAATTGTCACAATATTAAGCGTTTTGGATGTTTTGCTGTATAATAATAATAATACATATATACATATATATATATATATATATATGTGTGTGTGTGTGTGTGTGTGTATGCATATATATATATATATATATATATATATATATATATATATATATATATATATATGGGATAATGATATATCATTTTTTTTATATATCAAGAACAATTTTGGAGGAGACATGTATGGAAAGTGAGAAAAATATTTGTATGACGCGTTTCATCCTTTTTGGATTTCATCGGACGAGGTTTATTTACGTTGATGCGACTACGCATGCGCACGAAAAACAGATGCTGGGAAATTAAAATTAAAATTAAATTCTTTGCTTTCATACATGTTCCCCACCCACCCTCAAAGCAAAATATATATATATATATATATATATATATATATATATATATATATATATATATATATATATATATTTGTTGCGAAAGTCGACTATATTCCCTGAAACATTTTGTTGGCCATCTTTCTATTAAACAAGCATCTACGCTATCGAAGAGAAGGAATCATAAAAAAAAACATTTGAGTCTTTGATATGCAGACGACATACCCAATCCAGGTCGGAAAATCAGATCTGATAGTCCCCGTAGTTCGCTGTATCTGTTTCCCTCAAATAAATATTAAGGCAAGTGAAACGATGGGAAATTATCACAATTTTTCCAGGAAGATGAAAAAGTTTTCGTACATCAATATGACTGCTATACTGGGGATTATTGAAGTGTGAAGAAAGGTTTCATGAAAAGAGGGGGAAAGGTAACAAGAAAACCAGTTCATGATGATAATAAGAGAATTTGCTGTTACTTAAGCTTCAATGTAGACTACATAAAACTTAATTTGTTCTTAATGTTAAACGAGTTATTATTAATTATCGACGTTAATTTCTATCGTCGTATTTCCTTTGAGTAATAAGGTTCATAATTTCTAGATGAAGCCTTGTCAATTATTATTCATTTTTGACTAGTATTTCTTTCATTTTATTTCTCTTGCTTTTCCACCAAGTAGTAATAGTCTTAAGTTGTCTGAACTTCTGAGATAAAGCCTTGTCAATTATCATTCATTTTTGACTAGTATTTCTTTCATCTTATTTCTCTTGCTTTTCCACCAAGTAGTAATAGTCTTAAGTTGTCTGAATTTCTTAGATGTAGCCTTGTCAATTATTATTCATTTTTGACTAGTATTTCTTTCATCTTATTTCTCTTGCTTTTCCACCAAGTAGTAATAGTCTTAAGTTGTCTGAACTTCTTAGATAAAGCCTTGTCAATTATCATTCATTCTTGACTAGTATTTCTTTCATCTTATTTCTCTTGCTTTTCCACCAAGTAGTAATAGTCTTAAGTTGTCTGAACTTCTTAGATGAAGCCTTGTCAATTATTATTAATTTTTGACTAGTATTTCTTTCATCTTATTTCTCTTACTTTTCTACCAAGTAGTAATAGTCTTAAGTTGTCTGAACTTCTTAGATGAAGCCTTGTCAATTATCATTCATTTTTGACTAGTATTTCTTTCATCTTATTTCTCTTGCTTTTCCACCAAGCAGTAATAGTCTTAAGTTGTCTGAATTTCTTAGATGAAGCCTTGTCAATTATTATTCATTTTTTGACTAGGATTTCTTTTCATCTTATTTCTCTTGCTTTTCTACCAAGTAGTAATAGTCTTAAGTTGTCTGAATTTCTTAGATGAAGCCTTGTCAATTATTATTCATTTTTGACTAGTATTTCTTTCATCTTATTTCTCTTGCTTTTCCACCAAGTAGTAATAGTCTTAAGTTGTCTGAATTTCTTAGATGAAGCCTTGTCAATTATTATTCATTTTTGACTAGGATTTCTTTCATCTTATTTCTCTTGCTTTTCCACCAAGTAGTAATAGTCTTAAGTTGTCTGAATTTCTTAGATGAAGCCTTGTCAATTATTATTCATTTTTCACTAGTATTTCTTTCATCTTATTTCTCTTGCTTTTCCACCAAGTAGTAATAGTCTTAAGTTGTCTGAATTTCTTAGATGAAGCCTTGTCAATTATTATTCATTTTTGACTAGGATTTCTTTCATCTTATTTCTCTTGCTTTTCCACCAAGCAGTAATAGTCTTAAGTTGTCTGAATTTCTTAGATGAAGCCTTGTCAATTATTATTCATTTTTGACTAGGATTTCTTTCATCTTATTTTCTTGCTTTTCTACCAAGTAGTAATAGTCTTAAGTTGTCTGAATTTCTTAGATGAAGCCTTGTCAATTATTATTCATTTTTTGACTAGTATTTCTTTCATCTTATTTCTCTTGCTTTTCCACCAAGTAGGAATAGTCTTAAGTTGTCTGAATTTCTTAGATGAAGCCTTGTCAATTATTATTCATTTTTGACTAGGATTTCTTTCATCTTATTTCTCTTGCTTTTCCACCAAGTAGTAATAGTCTTAAGTTGTCTGAATTTCTTAGATGAAGCCTTGTCAATTATTATTCATTTTTGACTAGGATTTCTTTCATCTTATTTCTCTTGCTTTTCCACCAAGTAGTAATAGTCTTAAGTTGTCTGAATTTCTTAGATGAAGCCTTGTCAATTATTATTCATTTTCACTAGTATTTCTTTCATCTTATTTCTCTTGCTTTTCCACCAAGTAGTAATAGTCTTAAGTTGTCTGAATTTCTTAGATGAAGCCTTGTCAATTATTATTCATTTTTGACTAGGATTTCTTTCATCTTATTTCTCTTGCTTTTCCACCAAGTAGTAAAGGTTAAGTTGTCTGAATTTCTTAGATGAAGCCTTGTCAATGATTATTCATTTTTCACTAGTATTTCTTTCATCTTATTTCTCTTGCTTTTCCACCAAGTAGTAATAGTCTTAAGTTGTCTGAATTTCTTGAATTGTCAATGATTATTCAGACTGATTTCTTTCATCTTATTTCTCTTGCTTTTCAAGTAGTAATAGTCTTAAGTTGTCTGAATTTCTTTTTGTCAATTATTATTCATTTTTGACTAGGATTTCTTTCATCTTATTTCTCTTGCTTTTCCACCAAGTAGTAATAGTCTTAAGTTGTCTGAACTTCTTAGATGAAGCCTTGTCAATTATTATTCATTTTTCACTAGTATTTCTTTCATCTTATTTCTCTTGCTTTTCCACCAAGTAGTAATAGTCTTAAGTTGTCTGAATTTCTTAGATGAAGCCTTGTCAATTATTATTCATTTTTGACTAGGATTTCTTTCATCTTATTTCTCTTGCTTTTCCACCAAGTAGTAATAGTCTTAAGTTGTCTGAACTTCTTAGATGAAGCCTTGTCAATTATCATTCATTTTTCACTAGTATTTCTTTCATCTTATTTCTCTTGCTTTTCCACCAAGTAGTAATAGTCTTAAGTTGTCTGAATTTCTTAGATGAAGCCTTGTCAATTATTATTCATTTTTGACTAGGATTTCTTTCATCTTATTTCTCTTGCTTTTCTACCAAGTAGTAATAGTCTTAAGTTGTCTGAATTTCTTAGATGAAGCCTTGTCAATTATTATTCATTTTTGACTAGTATTTCTTTCATCTTATTTCTCTTACTTTTCGACCAAGTAGTAATAGTCTTAAGTTGTCTGAATTTCTTAGATGAAGCCTTTTCAATTATTATTAATTTTTGATTAGTATTTCTTTCATCTTATTTCTCTTGCTTTTCCACCAAGAATTAATGGTCATAATTTGTCTGAATTTCTTACATGAATCATTATTAATTATTAAATTTTGACTAATAATTTTTTCTTTTATTTCTTTGGCTTACAGTAAATAGTAGAAATAAATTTGAAAATTGGTTCAATGATTTTTTTTTCTCTCTCTCTCTCTCTCTTTATCTCTCTCTCTCATCTTGCTACTCGCCCTTCTCTTTTCTTCTTCTCTTTCTTTCCTTGATTGTCATTTATTTGCAAAAAAAAAAGAATCGAATTGATCATTATAACGATGCCAACCGGAAGACTGGTTGTGTTTTTTTTCCCGCGGATGTTGTCTTCGTTTCTCTCAATGGAGGCGATGTGACGCGAATATTAAGTCATTTGAGAGAATAATTACAGCCAAACTATACCGGCTTCATGGTTCACGCACAGGACCTAAGGTCAACTAGTCCGGCATCCGAAATGCAAATGAAATATCCGGTTTATAAGCAAATGAAAATCAAAACGTATCGCTCTTTCTATTTCATACAATAGCATTTAGTTGTTAATCCCCTTGCTCTTCCTTGTCAGACTATATATATATATATATATATATAAACATAGAAGTTAACACTTAGAGACGACAGTCTGTTTCATGCTAGGCGCAATCGTCAGGCTACACGATTGGCCTGACGATTGCATCTAGCATGAAACAGATTGTCGCCTCTAAGTGTTGACTTCTATGTTCACTATATTACACACGCTCGATCTCTGATACTGAGCACTTTATCCCATAAATATAGAACTTCTTAAGACTATAATTCTTCATATATATATATATATATATATATATATATATATATATATATATATATATATATTATGAAATGGATAAGTCCGACAATTATTCTAATATATATTTTTTGTTTATACGTTATTTTTATAAATACAAATATTTTAGTAATTGCTCAGTTTTTAATAAAGAAATATTACCAACATTTACCGGCCGGAATTTCCGAAAAATCTCAAACCAAATATGAGTCCTTCAACAGGTATCGAACCTGTATCCCACGAAAACACTCAAGCCGGTAAATTTTGTTAATACACATTATTATAAGCAGAGCATTTACTTTAATATTTGTGTCTATAAAAATAACGAGATAATATATTAAAATAATTGTCGGACATGGTTCATTTCTTAATATATATATATATATATATATATATATAAAGGTTAAAGGCCTTGGTTAGATCCAGTGATAGGGCCCAAAGAGTGTGAGTTCAATACCCGGTTTAGGCAGTGGAGAACTTTCAGAGGGAAATTAACAGGAGATAACTGATAACTGACATCCATTAAACATGGCACGTGGAACTAGAACAGTCTACCCCAGTGAGCGAAATAAAGAGTTCAGTTCGACATTCCAACCACCTGAAGAAGGCCCGAGCGTACAACGCCCGAAACAATGTAATAAATATAGCGACAAAGATGAGGACAATAGTCCGAATAATGTAAATAGAGTGGTTAGTAATTTAATGATTTATTTAGTGAAGTGATTTCGCCATTAATTACATTAACTTTGCTTATTAATTCTTTGCATGATTACTTTTTTATAATATTTTATATACTGCACCATTTAATATATATATATATATATATATATATATATATATATATATATATATCCCTGAAAAATTTATTTCGGTTGAGCTCTCTGGAGAGGAAGTGTGGGTTTGTAAGCAGTGATAATAAGCCTAATAATTACGGCTAATAATGAAAGACTCTTCGTTAAATCGAATTGAGTTCTCTCAGTCTCTGCCTGTTGATTTAAATAAATACGCTTAAATTCACCTTCAGCCCCTACCGTGCGTCAATCTCCGACTGACGCCAATTCAGTCAAGTTTCGATCCTACCGGACGTCTAGCCACACTGATGAGCTGTGATACAGCAAAACAGTCTGTCTGTGGATGACAGTGTATATATATATATATATATATATAGATAGATAGATAGATAGATAGATAACTAGACTCGTTTCGAAAAACCCTCGAATTTTTGATTTTCTAATCATACATATATATATATCTCGCAATTCGAAAACTTTCATGAAAGTATATATATATATATATATATATATATATATATATATATATATATATATATATCTCGCAATTCGAAAACTTTCATGAAAGTATATATATATATATATATATATATATATCGCAATTCGAAAACTTTCATGAAAGTTTATATATATATATATATATATATATATATATATATATAAAAAATATAATGTAGAGAGAAAAGTATGTATATTAAAAGAAGAGAAGAGAGGTGCCGCAAACGTTTTTTGGTTGTAATGTGGATTTATTTAGAAAAATATTATGCTTTGTTTTACATAATTTCACGACACGTGTTTCTGGTCTCGCGACCGTCTTCAGGTAAAGTGGAGATTTTACATATTATTAAAAATAATAATTAATTTTTCCTCATGTTCAATGTTAAATATTCTCGATATGAGACATTTTCTGTTTGTGTGTTGGTAATCTGAATTTCCCTCTTCTCATAATCGTCATCGTGGTTTTGTTTTTTCAAAGACAAAAAATTGTTCTGTTCAGTGTTTTTCTAAGACAAAATTCTTGCGTTCATCAACAAGGTAGTTTTCTTCCTTTCTTTTATAAGGATACTAAGAATCTTGTTCGTAATTACGAAAGGATCCCATTAAAAATAACGTTTCGGCCGTTGTACTCTCCGGCCTTCTTCAGGTGGCTGGAATATCAAACTGAACCCTTTATTTTGCTGGGTTTGCTGCATAATTATTAGGCGTTTTTAAACGATATTTGTTATGAAAAAAGAAATATAATTCAACAATAACATTTTTGAATGATTGTTTCGGGGCGTTTGATTATCGATACGCATTTTTATCATCTGAAAATAGAATAATATTTTTATTAAAACCTAAACAAAACTGCAATTTTTATTAAAAATTAAAAAAATCGCCTACAAAACACCTGACAATTATGCACCAACCCAATGTGTGTGTGTGCGTGCATATATATATGTGTGTGTGTATATATATATATGTGTGTGTGTGTGTATGTGTATATATGTGTGTGTATATATATATATATATATATATATATATATATGTGTGTGTGTGTGTGTGTGTGTGTGTATGTATATGTATATATATATATATAAAGTAGATTGCTAGATATTGGGCTTTACCAAATGGAATGTTTTTGATGGCCTTATCGTAAATTTCAATGTCGTTTTGCCCTATCAACTGATCGCTTTCACGCTAAAGCAAATTTATACACAAACAGAAAAAGAAAAATATTTTCGCGCCCTGTAATATGGATAGAAGGCCTTAATCTTTTCTCTCTATATGTTCACCCATAAAGATTTCTATCTTCAACCACTTTTCTCACCAGACCTGAACTTTCCGTATCCACTTAAAGGACAATACACTCCATCGTTATCTTTTCACAAATGATCTTCCCCCTGAGTACGAAAGACAGACAGACGATAACATATTCAATAAAGTTATTTCCGTGATTTACTTTTCTTTCAAAGAATAAGATAGGTGATCCGTCAGTTTCGAGATCCAGTCGGGTAAAAATCATTTTATCTTTAAGTTTGTATAAACTATTCTACCAGCCCGTTTTGAGCCATGCCTGATACACGCTTAGGCGATCATGTATCTTTCGACGAGACAGATTTTTCCCGGAGTAGGTTGCCATTACTTTCTACCATCCAAGGCTATAGAACCCGGTTTGTCCTGCTATTTAACCATATCTGGATGGGGAAGAAAAAGATTCATACCTTTCCCAAGAGTGTTAGGACGTAAGTGAATGTAATGGATTTGACTGCAAAGTCAGTCAGTCAGTTATGTGTCATGTGTGATACGCGTTTAGGCGATCAAGTATCTTTCGATACATGGCTGATGAAGCTGAGTTTTTTCCCGAGGTAGGTTTCCATTTCTCTCTACAGTAGCCCAATTGCCATCCAAGGCTATAGAACCCTGACTGTTCTGCTATTTACCCATAGCTGGGTGTAGAAAAAGAGGATTCATACATTTCCCAAGGGTAGTTGCACGTAAGTGTATATCACTCATTTATGTGGCATACGTGGTACAAGATTACGCGTCATGTATCTTTCGATTCATACCTTTCCCAAGGTAATGGATTCGACTGGAATTCGAACTCTGCTCCCCGATTCCTAAATCCGAGCCGCTATCCATTATTCCATTGGCTACCTTGACAACGTCAAAGTTTGAAGTCGGTAGAATTTGTCTTTGGTCACATCATATATATATATATATATATATATATATATATGAAAAATTCATTTTGGTGCGGTTTCACTTCCCTTAACCGCTACGAATGATGTGACCAAAGACAAATTTAAAGGTTCGGACTTCAACCTTTGACCTTACTGGGAGGTAGCCAATGGAATGATGTCTAGAACACGGACAACAGATGCTGATTAAAAATGGCCGAGACGGTCGAAAGTATGTGACGTAAACAGCAGGAAAAAAACAAACTTCGAATACTTTAGCAAAAGAAGTGTCAATATAGAACATCACATGCGGTTATTGGAAAAATCCAATAAAAAATATTAAACATGGGGAACGTTTCTACTCATAATTTTTTGTAAATATATATATATATATAATTAATTCATTGAGTCTGATAGAAACCTCAACAGGAAATTGAGGAAGCACTGGACGTAGAATTTCGTCCTGTAAATTGGGACTCATCAGCGGTGCATAAACCGCAAGTATCGAAACCCTGACAATTGGGTTGTCAAGTCGAACAATGAAACCAACTGTACCAAATTTCGGTAACAAAAGATTCCTAATCAGACTCAACTAGCGCCGCTCGCTCACATATTCCGTGGCGGAACTCTACTGAGTTCTCTGTAACCGTAGGACTGTGCCCAAAAAGATCACGACTAATATCGACACCAAGCCGCGCAACAGGAGCATAAGAAGCTAAAATAAGCGATGATAAACAGATAGTAATATGTGAGCGAGCGGCGCTAAGTTGAGTCTGATTTAGAATCTTCGTTACTGAGGCCCATTTGGTACAGTTGGTATGTTGTTCGCTTGACAACCCAACTGTCAGGGTTTCGATTTCGGTGGTGGATGCGCACAGTTGATGAGTCCCAATTATAGGACGAAACGGACGTCCAGTGCTTCCTCTAATGTTGAGGTTTCTATCAAACTCAATGAATTAATTAAATATATTTAATGTATATATCTCGAAAGAGAAATTCCTATGTTTCGAAACAAATTTAATTTTAATATTTAACTTAAAATTTAGAGTACAATTTCATTGTCAAGGGATGTTTAGAAACATCGCTTCAGAATGAAACTGTACTCTAAATTTTAAGTTTAATATTGAAATTA